AGAAAATGATATAAAACTTCTTCAATAATTAAATGAAATAAAAAATTTATAAGAAAAATAGTCGAATTAATAAAAAAGTGAAAATTTATTATATTCGATAAATGATTATAAGTAATTTTAAGAAATTATATATGAAGAAAAATATCAGGATAAAAATAAAGAAGATAATTAGTAAAAAAAAGTATAATAATAAAATAATGAAAAATAAAAGAAATAGATATAGAAAAAAAAAAAAAATTCTTAATAGAATAATAAAATTCCTGAAGTAATATAAAATGAATTATTATTGCCGTAAAAAATTTAGAGATAAAAAACAAGTTCATAAAAACATATTGTTATTAATATTAATAATAATAATAATAGTATTAATAATAATAATAATAATAATAATAAAATAAATATGAGCAATATTTTTAATAATAGTAAAAGCATCACTAATGAAAATTTAAGCTATAGTAATATTGATTTACTTAATAAAATATAAACGATATAATATATAATTAATAATTATAATATTAAAAAAAGAAATCTATTGAATAATAAAATAAATAATAATTATATTAATTAAAAGAATAAGAAGAATAAAAAGAATAAGAATTTTTATTAAAATAAGATTTAAATTAAGAAATAAAACATGAATAAATTGAATAAATTAAAACAAGAGAATAATAATAATAATAATAATAATAATAATAATAATAATAATAATTTGATAATTATTAATTAGAAAATATTAACTATAATTTATAAAGTCCTATATAAAAATATTACGAAGATAATTAATTTCCTTAATTCAATGATGATGAATATTAATAATTAGCATTAAAAATTAAATAGAAATATACAGGACTTTTCTAAATACTTTCTTAAAAAATACATGAAATGAAATCTAAAAAAACAAGTTTAAAAAGTTATGTTCATTAAAGTACTGATAAAGCAATTTCATAATAAGATTTATAATCATCAATTTGCTTAGTTAATATATACCAGGAAAGTTAAAGTCGATATACCCGATTGAGTTAATATTATAATTCATTAAGATCATTTACTAATTTGAAGTAAATTTAGACTTAACCTCCTTAAAATACAAAATCTAAGTTAAAAAAAAAAAATCTATTAGATTAAGATGATCTTTCGAAATCAAAATATGATGATCATAATTCAAACTTAGATTACGGTTTTTTATACAAAAATGATGAAAAGATGTCTAGAATAATTGCTGCTAGTTCAATTCGGACATTTAATGAACAAAAATACGAGTAAAGAAATATTTTAATAAAAAAAGTTAAAGAAAAAAAAGCCAACTAATATTTAAAAATTTTAAACACTTTTGGTATTTTTGCCATATCCTGTATCCTAATTTTAACTTTAGTGCTATATTATTAGATTAAAACGACATTTTATGATACCAGGGTGAATATTTCTTACCTTCCATGGTCGAATTAATTTAAAATTAATTCAATTGCATTTATGGCTTCGCATGTAATGGTTAGAATAATCAAATATAATTTTTTTATGAATATGAATTAGATAAGGAGTTTTTAAAAAAAATATATGAGAGGTAAAAAATTTGTTTAGAGATATAATTTGATTTATTAAATAAGATGATAGTTACTGATTTTTCTAAAAGGAATTACTTTAAATACATTAATATGAATTATTTTAATGTTATTTTTAGTAAAGATTATAAGGTTTTAGATGAATAATAAAAATTAAACTTTTAAGGGAAAGAAAGTAATGTTTTTTCAATTGTTTAATATAATTAAATTTAAGCGATTTTTTAAAAAATTTTTATGATAAATTCAATAACTTATTACAAATTAAATACTTTATTTATTGATAATTATATTAATTTTAGTGCTAATATGTAAACTACTTAGAATTTAGTCGAAAAATAAATTTAGGATATGTTAAAAAATATAGAAGATTTCTCTTATTTGTTACTTATATTGGTTGTGGTGATATCCTTTTTATTTATTATGGTTGTTTTTCCTATGTATTCATCAGTTTAGAGTAAAAATTAATAAATTCTTAAACTTTTTGCTACAATTTAAAATAATCATTTGAAATCGATGATTGAACCTTTATAAATTTGTCTATATAATTAAGTATTTTATTCTAAAAAAAAAATTAAAAAAATGCATTACAATTTAATGCTTTAAAAAAAAGAAAAAATATTTCATAAACTAATTCTATACCAAAATTTAAAGGAATATTAGTAATATATGCAATTATTATTTATATTATTACAATTACTTAACCTATTGTCAATTATTTACTTATATAAAAATTTAATAATGAAATGAAAACTAATGTAGATTTAGTGTGTATAAATTATAATTAAATATATATATATATATATATATATATATATATATATAATTATATAAATTTTATATACATTTTATTATTTTATATTAATTTTGTTTTATAATAAATATATTTTATTCTATATATATAATAATTATAAAAAGCCTGTATTTATGATATAAAAAGTTTATTGACATCTAATATTTTTGTTAATTATTCTTATATTTTGAGTATATTAGACCCTGAAGAACATATATATTATTAAAAATATTATTTAAATAGAGTTTAATTACTAGTAGATTAATTTGATTAAAAATTAATAAGATTTTATTAGATTTTAGAAAATGTATATTCAGAAAATAGATATTAATAATACTTATATAATAATTTTTTTTTACAATTTTAAATGGAAATATGTGCGAAGCATTTTAAAACTATCCTGAATATATGGATTCTTTTATATAAGATATAGATTATGAATAGTGCATAAATACTGAAAACGGAACACTTTAATAAGGATTTTAAATTAGTTTAAAATAATATTTTTAATATTTTATTTAATTAAACGAAATATATAAAAATACAAAAGCTAATGATGCTTTTATATTATTAAATAATATTCTAAATTGGGATTTTTATTTTGATTTTAGAGAATTAGATAATTTTTATTAAATTTTATACTCTGCAGTTGATATTTTAAAAAATTTCATTTTATAAAATATAAATAATTATTTGGATTATATGAATTTGATATAAATTATTTTTTTAGTTTTTTAAATAATATTTTTATTATTTATTTTTCTATTTGGATGGAAAAAATTCTATGTTTTTATATAAAATGATATGTTTCTTGTAAAATCACTTCTTTAAGTTATATCAGTAGATTCTGTTATTGATAATCCTTATATGGTATCATATTTAAATAGATGATAATATTTATTTTTTACATTTTTAATTTACTCATATATTTTTTATTTTATTATTTTTATATTTATTTTTGTATGAATATTTTATGATTGAAATTTTTAATTAATTAAATATAAATAATAATAATAATATTTTTTTTTTTTTCTAATTTATATAATTATTTTAAATTTTCTATTTATAATTTATTTATATATTTGTATTTTTTTTATATATATATATTATTTTTTTTATCATAAAATAAATTTTATTCATATATATTTATATTATTATATAAATGTAAAACTAAATATCAATTCTATAAAACTTTAATTATCTTAAAATGTACTAGAGGATATTTTAAATTAAATATAATCCTATACAATAAAGAGAGACCAATTAAGGAAAAAATAAAATATAATATTTTAGAAGCAAAAAAAATATGTTCTTTTTCATTAACTAAAAGTATATGTGAATCAGAAAATTCAGATTTTTTTATAGTTTCTTATTCAGAATAAAATATTTTTTCATTATGGACATCAATGTTACTTGTTCTAAATTAGTTTTTAGTCTATTTCCATTATTATGATAATTATTCTTCTTAAATTATATTTAAAATGTTAAATTAAATTTAACAATGAGAAAAATTATTTAAAATAAAATCATAATTTTCAATAAAATTTGTCATTTTGTTAAATTTAAACTATGTTTCTCCAAAAAATAATTACTTAATTTAATTAAGGTAAATTTAATTAGTTAATTAACTTTTTTTAATTTCAAAAGAATTTAAAGAATAAATAATTTCTGGTTAAAATTATTTAAATTTATCTAATAAATCTTAAAATTATAATCCTGTTCTGATAGTATTTTTAATAAATTAAAATGTATTGCAAGAATAACATTCTATTAAATAAATAAAATAAAAAAAGGCTACAACTGGATAAGAATATATACCTTTATAACCTATATATATGAATAAGAAAAACATTTATATATATATTAAATATTATATATATATATATAAAATATATATATATATATATATATATATATATATATATATATATATATATATATATATATTTTTTTTTAATTATATGTTTATTTTATTTTATATTTTAAAATATATATTTTTTTTACAGTCTTATATTTATAATATCAAAAATACCCATAAAACAATTGAAAATAACATTGAATGATAAGATAAAGAATCATAAATTATTTTCTTTTTCTAAATTTAATGCTGTTTATAATTTTTTTCACAATTTACTTATTTTATTATTTTAGATTAATTATCTTAAGATATATTTATTTTTCTATTTAAGTAATTTATTTAGCTTGTTAATTCTTAAGGTTGATTATTTTATAATGTATTATTAGTAATTTATTATTTATGAATCTCTATTTCAATCATTTTTTTTAAAAAAAAAAATTAATATTTTTATACTTTTATTATATTAATTATTTTTATATTTTATATATATATGATATATTTTTTTTTTATATATTTTATTATTTGTTTTTTTATAATTTAAAATTTTATAAAAAAAATAAAAATAATAATATTATAAAAAATATTAAATTATTTATTATAATATGTATTATATTATAAATATTTTTTTAATATATATATATATATATAAAAATTATTAATTATTAAAAAATTTATTATAAAAAAGTTAATAGGAATATATCTTTATATTATTATTTTTATTTATTTTCTAATAATATTAACTAAAAATAAATAATTAAATATTTTTTTTATTTATAGAAAAAAATATATCTTATCAAATCTTCTTAAACTTATTTTAATTTTTAAAAACAGGAGGAAATTCTACATCTCCGAATTCTGATAAAATTCTATATGCCCCAGGTCCAGGATCTAAAAAAAATAAAATAAAATTTAATTAAATAATAAAAAATACATTATATTCCAATATTATTTTCTTTTTATTTGCTATTATGTCCAAACTTTCCTCCTTAAATAGATTTCAATTTCGAATTATAATAAACTCCTTATTTTTTAATACTTTCATATTCATAATAACCTGGCCCAGGTATATTTTTTGGTTTATACAAATCATAAAATCTTCCATTTTAAGAATTCGAGAATACCGGAGCCTTACTATTCGAAAAATTAGAAACGAAATATTTTCCTGACTTATTTAATCCTTTCACCTAATAAGTACCAGGCCCTGGATTATCTAATGCAGTAGAAATCAATTCTTTTAAGATTTTCAATTTTTTTTTTTTTTTTTTTTCAAAAAAAAAACAAATTAAAAAAACAAATTACATATGTTTTTTTGATGTTAAATATACGTTAATTTAAAGTTCTTTTTCCCATAGAATATTGATATAATCTATTTTATTTTGAATCATCTTATTCATAATGTCCTGGCCCTGGAGATATCGTATATTCATTCATTCTTCTAAATGCTATTTCTTGTCTTCCTAATTTAAAAGCTATTCCCTTTTGTTTAGATTACTCTTTATCGAATATACTAGAAACTTTATATCGATCTGGTCCTGGTTTATTCTTATCCATTTTCGTAAAATCGCTTTTATTTCCTTTACCGAAACCTGTAGAGCGGTTGTTTAGGGTAGTTCCTAATGTATAGAATCCAGCTTGACAATAGCTTTTATAAGTACCCCCAAATCTTTAAGTTCTTGGAAATGTATATTATTATTTAGAATGAGAATTGTTCATTTAATCATGGGCTATTTTTGTTGAATAAACTGAAGATGTTGTTTAGTATTAATATTTTATTTATTACATTTTTTTTTTTATTTTTATTGTTATTTGAATATAATTTATTTTAAATTATTTTTTATTTATTTTGTTAGAAATATAAATAATAGTTATTTTTTTATTTATTTTTTTCAAATTTTCAATTTAATTTATATTTCTTCAAATTCTTTTATTTTATTTAATAATTAATTTTTTGTTATAAATTCAAAATTTAACTCTTTATATTAATTTTTTAAAACAAAATTTTTATTTTCCTATTTTTTTTATTATTTATTTTAAAAAATATATATATTTTCATTTTTTTTTAATAAAAATACTAAACAACTATTAATTATTTTATTAATTTAAATTTAATGAATATTATATTTAGAAATATGATAAACATATTTTAAAACCAAAACAATCTTAAGAGAATTTGCAAAAATATCCAAAAAATTAAAAAACTGTTCAATTATTAATATGTTAATTTTTTTTCATTAAAATAATCATCATATTATATTAAATCAAATTAATTATTATTATTTTTTGTTTAAATAAACTTTCAATTTCAATTATTAATTCATTCTCCTTTTAGATTTCATCTAAGTTTTTTTTTTATATATTTCTTCTTTTATAATCACCCATTCCTTTATTTTCAGTAAAAATTTTTAATATTTAGAAATTTAATCTAAATATTTTATATAGTATGAAAAATCAGTAGATTAAACTTAATGAAATTCTAGTTAATTTTCAGACTCTTAAATAATTTATTTTAATTTATTTAATTCAAGAATATTATTTTTGTATATTTCAACTTCTATGAAATTTAAAATAATATCTAATTAAAATAATTCTTTATTTTATTAAAAAAAGTCTTCGCTTTCATTCATAAAGTCGTTACATTTGTCTTTAAAAATTTAAATTTGTAAATCTAAAACAGCTTTATATTTTACTAAAATAGTTTCCATATTAGCATTAATTTCTATTACTTTTTTTTTCAATTCAATAAGTGAAAAATTACAAGAACTTATCTTAATTAATTAAAAAAAAAAAATATATATATATATAGACATATATTAGTATATTAAAATATATATGAATATATAAATATATGAATTTATGAATATATGAATTTATGAATATATGAATATATGAATATATGAATATATGAATATATGAATATATGAATATATGAATATATGAATATATGAATATATGAATATATGAATATATGAATATATGAATATATGAATATATGAATATATGAATATATGTTTATATATATATATATATTTAAATATTTATATATATAATTATATAATTATATAATTATATAATTATATTATTATATATAATATAATACAAATTAATATTTTTAAATATATATCTGTTTATTACTATTTTTTTTATTTTAATATATTTTAATAATTATACTTATAATTTTAAAGAATGTGGCATATAAATGTTCTTATTTAAACATATATTATTTAATATTTTTATTTTTTTATTCTAACTTTAATAATTATCTATTTAATAATCAATATCTTAAATTTAATATATAAAATTGTAAAAATGTTATAAATTTTAAGGAAATTTATATATTTATTTATATTGCATTTTTATAGTATCATAAAAGTTTTTTGAAAGATTTTCTAATTAAAAAATTAAACTTTCATTTGTTTATTATATATAAATATTTTGCTAGTTTGTTAAATCATATATTAATTTAGAAAAATCTAAACAAAAAAAACCTATTTATATATTTTTATCTTGTTTTTAAATTTCAGCTTTATCATTTTCAATTGTTATATATATTTCTTTATATTAATCATCATTTAATTATTATAAATATCTAATTTTTTAATAATTAAAAAGAAAAAAAATAATAATTACTGAATATCATAATTAAAGTATTTTTAATATTTAGAAATCAAATTATCAATAATTCTACTTTTATTAACTAATTTATTATAATTAAAATCAAGCTTTAATTATAAAAATATTTATATATATAAATAATTATATTATATATTTATATTATATATATTTATATTTATATTTATAAATATTTATATTTATTTAAATTTTTATTTTATAATTATAAGAATTTGTATATATATATAAACTGTCATAAAAAAATTCTTTTTGTTTTTTAAGAATTCTTATGATTATTTTAGCAAATCAACCATAAGTTCTTTTAAGATAAGATTTTTTTCTTATTTATTATTAATATCTTATTGAATATATTCTTTAATTTCTTACTAAAAATAAAATTATTAATGATTAAAAACAACAATATTAACACATTTATCAATCATTAAACTTAGTTCATTAAATAAATATATTTTTTCTGGTTAAAAACTTATGCCTTATCCTTATCCTTATAAAAAACAATATTCAATTTTTATTTTACTTTTTTTTTTTGCTTTTTCTTTTATAATTTTTAATATTTCTGTTTCTGCTTATGATATTCCTTCTTATATAAACCTAAACTTTGATTTTATATTCATAAAATCTACAAAACGTATAAATTTTTGCAATTCCCTATACTCAAACTAAAGTTAAACTTATTAAGTAAATGAAAGTTCCTCAAAAGACATTAAATCATGTTTTTAGAGGAATAGTTACATTTAGTTTTGACATTTTTCTATTATTATATTGAGGATTTATTACTAAAGTTATTTTATTTGGGCCGAAACTTTTTTAATTAGATAATCTTAAGTAATTACAAGGAATTCATTTATGTTCAAATTATATAAGTTTTACATTTTAAAGATATTGAAAATCGGTGTTTATTCAAATAGTAGAAAAAATGATTAAATTTGTAGTATTTTTTATCTAAAATCTTGTTTTAAGATTAACAATTTTTTCTGAAGTATATTTTTGCATTATTTTATTATATTATTTTTCATTGTATTTTTCCAATATTAGAAGATTTTATATTAAAAAAATTTACAAAAAAATTGTATTTTTTATAATATTTTAAAATTTTCCTTTTCTTTTTAGAATGTTTCTATTGTCAAAAATTAAGTATTTCCCCTATAGTATATAATAACACCTTATTTGCTTATTGTACAATAGTTTTCGTTATTTTTTTCCTCAAAATTTGTCAATAATAGATCATATGGTGAATCTTTTTAACGATTCATATAAAAATAAATATCTTTTTATTCATGTTTATAATCCGTTTATAGGAAATCGAAAATTTCTTTTTCGGTTATTTCATAAGAAATATTCTTTAATTTTTAATATATTTGGATTTACTATTGAGGGTTTAAATATTAAAAGATAAGAGGAGTATTTGATTTAAGAATTTTCGGTGATTTTTTATTTTAAATCAGAGTTTAGGGTTTTTTTTTTATATAGGGAAATAATCGGATACGAGAATCGATTTTATTAGTAGAAAATTAATCAATTTGTGTATTTTAATGTTAAAGATTGGAATTTTTAAAGTTTAATTATGGAGAAAATGAACGAGTTTTCTTTTTTATAAAAAAAAATATTTATTTAAATATTAATATATATTTTTAATAAAAGAAAATTTACTATTTAAAATTCATTTTTTATATATATTTTTTAATTTATCATATTAGTATATTTATATATATTATTTTGAATTTTATTTAATAAGAATACTATATTTATGATGTAAATGTTAATAAAAAAATTTAATTAATAATTAATTATTAATTTAATTCAAATTAGATAATAATTATTAATTAACAATATAATATATATATATATAATATATATATATATACATATATATATATATATATAAAAATAAAAATTGTATTTAATTTTTTATCTTATTTATGATTTAAAAATTAAAGATAAATAAAATCAAGATTTTTATTAATTATAATTATTTATTAATAGTAGAAATATAATAAATTACAATATTTCATAAATTTTTGATAATATATAATTAAATATAATTTATTTATAATTTTTATAAAATATATAAAAATAAATATATATATAAATATATATATTTATATATATAATTTTTTTTTTATTTATTATATAACATTTCTTCTTTATTATTTTTTTTTAACAACAATTATTAAAAAATGTCAGATAATTATTAATATTGTTTCGAAGATTAATATAATCATAAATATCCAAATTTACGCAATTTACTTAATAAAAATATAGAATAAGAAAAGAATTAAATATAAATAATTGATGAAGATTTTTAATAGATTGATGCAATTTAAAATTCATTAAATTAAATTTTTTTAGAATAATTATAAAATATTTAAAATTAATTTTTATAAAAAATCGATTTTATTGAAAATGTAACAGTTAATATTTCAGAATAAAATATATAAGTTGATAAGTAATATATGTATATATTTTAATATTTATTTTATATTTTTATTTTTTTTATTATAAAATAGAATGTTTTTAGAATTATAAATTTACAATATTTATGTAATAAATCCTTTATTTCCTAATTAAACATATAATGTATAAAGAAGGTATAATGACTTTTGTTGGATTTTAGAATAAATTCAAATTTATTTTCCTGGAATTATACATCCTCCGCTTCCTGAAAAGTATATATTAACTAAAATTAATATCTAAGTTTTTAATAAAAATGAATTTTTGGAATAAAGAAAGTAATTTTTGAATATTTTTCTTAATTTTTTAATTAAACATCCATTTTTGAAATATTTTAAATTATTATATCTATTTTTAACTTAAACTAATGATGATGTATATTTATATAAAAATATTATTAAAAAAAGATAATAAAAAAAAGTTTGAAAAAACAAAATATGAATGTTCATAAAATAAAGAAAATATAGAATATGAGAAAAATAAAAATTTCATTAATGTTTTATTCGATTAAATTTAATAAAAATTTAATGCAATATTTGATTATTTATAATTATGGAAAAAAAATGATAAGGAAATATAAAAAAATGAAGAAGATGATGAATTCGATAAATACGAAAAATTTTATAATGATT